AAAAAATTATAAGTGTGTACTAAAGCAAGACACCACAGGTGAATAGGGTAAAAAAAATTTAACTAACAGATATCACCTATCAATCAACTTCCCCAGAACTGCAAGCATTTATTTTGTATTACAAATTTTCTGAAATGTTATGTTTAAATATGCAAATGAGGCATTATTTAATTAAATATGCAGTAATTAGCAAGCATTTTCAGCACATAAATCTGAAAATAGGATAAAGCCAGGTTCATAATTCTGGTTTAATTTTGTTGACATATTAGGGTTAAAGGTTTTTCCAGAGGGGAGTTTGGATTTTTCTTTTTATCACTCCATAAACCAGAAAATACTGTCAACAGACAGAAAACAAATACATTTTCACCATGATTTTAGGTATAAAATGTTGTATAAATCAGTGTGAATGATATATGGTTTAGCGCAGCTCGTCAGTGAACAACGGCTCTGTGTAGTTAATGCTGCTCGATGTGAAAGCACGCAGGTGATAGAGATTTACCGCTGATTACAGAATCGGCTTTACTGATAAGATGCGCGTTAAATATCGCATGCGATTAATCGTGCAGCCCTAGTAAAAACAGTAATATTGTAAAATATTATTACAGTTTAAAATAAATGTTTTCTATGTGAATATATTGTAAAATGTAATTTATTCCTGTTATCAAAGCTGATTTTTTTTTAGCTTCATATTTTTGTGGAAACCGTGCTACATTTTATTTTTCAGGATTCTCTGATGAATAGAAAGTTCTAAAGACCAGCGTTTTATTTAAAATAGAAATCTTTTGTAATATTATAGATGTCTTTGATTATTGAATCGTTGTGCATGTTATTATCCAATAGCATATGTTGATCTGGTCCGGTTTAATCGGGTTTAACGTGTTCTCAGGTGAACCGTGAGCTGAAGAAGCTGCTGGTGGCATCTGTAGGCGATGATCTGCAGTATCACTGTGAGCGTCTCGCACGAGAGAACAACCACTTGATCCTGGAGAACGAGGCGTTGGGACGGAGCCTGTCACACACGGCCGAGCAACTGGAGCGCATGAGCATTCAGTGTGACGTCTGGAGGAGCAAGTTCCTCGCCAGCCGGTAAGACTTAAATCAGAAACATGGGATGTCTTACAAAACGTTGTGCTTTTAAGACCTATTTATTTGTTTTTATTTAATACAAAGGACCGAAAACCAATCACAAAGAGTAGGCTACTTTCTTCATTTAAAAATATGAGATACAGTGGGATGGGGAAAACTGCCATAACGTCTTTAGACATGTTTTTTAAAAGTTTAACTTGCATTCATTTTACATGGCTTTCTAAACATGCCGCTCTCTTGTGCGAGACGCGAGTGCAACGCTGATAGATGTCCCTCTAGAAAATGTGATAAATATGCGTTCTGTGTGAACGGCTTGGTTTCAGTTTTGACGTAAACAACATCATCTCCACACTGATGCACTCGTTTTCCGCAATATATGAATGAACAACATAGCAGCGCCGCATCTAGTGGCTAACAAAAGCATTCAAATGCAATCAATGACAAATACATTGTCATCGCATCTCGTGCGCCACTGATAAGGCTGCCTGATGGCTGATGCAGACCTTAACGTTTTTGCATTAGAATGTGGATTTTTTTTTTTTTTAATTCGACGAATTACATATTTTATATTTTATAATAACATTATAATATTTTTCATGTTTTTATATGCATATTATACATAATAGTATGCATAATTAGCTCCCAGCTTAAGAAGTGTCAAGAGCACATATGGGGAGAAAATGTTGTTTTTCTTTGATCATATTTTGTATTTCATGGAAAGAGGGTCATGCATGTGTGTTTGTTCCTGTAGTGTGATGGCAGAGGAACTGACCAATGCCAGAGCAGCTCTACTGCGGCAGACCAGAGACGCTCAGTGTGCCATTCAGGATCTGCTGCGAGAACGAGACGAGTTCTCCAGAGAAATGATGCACACACACAGGTGACGGCATTTCCCTCAGTTCACCTCCAAAAACCAATAAAAACATTTCCTGACTGAAATAAAGTATACAAAATGTTATTTCAGTTATTTGCCAGGCAGCATTTCTAATAAAGTACTAAAATAAGTAAAACTAAAACTGAAAAAAGTAATAAAAACATCAAAGGCATGAAAAAACTAATAAGACATAGCAGCGCCGCATCTAGTGGCTAACAAAAGCATTCAAATGCAATCAATGACAAATACATTGTCATCGCATCTCGTGCGCCACTGATAAGGCTGCCTGATGGCTGATGCAGACCTTAACGTTTTTGCATTAGAATGTGGATTTTTTTTTTTTTAATTCGACGAATATTCGAAATTCAAATTTTTTTTGACATCCCTAATAGAGAGGAATAAAACCGAAAAGTTTGGTGTATGTAAGAGAAAAAAACAAAAGATATGGTTTGGAATTGAAATTACAGGTGCAAAATAGACCAAAAAACTGTCCAGTGCATGAAAAAACACTGGTTTTGTCTGTAGTGTCTTGCCTTGATGATACTAAAATAACTAATTTATGTTTAAATCAATGTAAAAATCATGCTAGTGATGAATCGGAGTGTTGTGCAATCATTCAGCTGACAAAGTAATGCAAATGTAACTTCACATGTTCCTTTCCCTGTGATTTGTGTGGCTGGTGTTTTAATGTTTTGCATGTGATGTGCAGGTCTCTGGAGCAGCTGCTGGTGTCTCTGCAGTGGGGTCGGCAGCAGACGTATTATCCCAGTGCTCAGCCACTCAGCACAGGAGAACTGGCCGCAGCCAATCACAAGCTCGCAGATGCCATCAACTCACACCTGCTGGGAAACGTGGGCGGCAGCGGCGCCGTGAAGAATAGCCCGAGATCAGAGCTCTGCAACACACCGGCCGAGAAGATGGCTGAGAAGGTGCATTGTTTCTCTGAGATTCTTCCTCGGATAATGAATTCATTAGACATTAATGAATTAAAAAGAAGAAATTAATTAGATTTAAAATAAGAAATTAATAATTAGAAATTGATTGATTAATAAGACAATCAATAATTTGATTAAGAAATTGATTCAATAATATGAAATGAATTACAAATTAATAAATGTGACCCTGGACCACAAAACCAGTCATAAGGGTCAATTTTTCGAAATTGAGATTTATACATCATCTGAAAGCTGAATAAACAAGCTTGTTAGGATAGAACAATATTTGGCTGAGATACAACTATTTGAAAATCTGGAATCTGAGGGTGCAAAAAAATCAAAATATTGAGAAAATCGCCTTTAAAGTTGTCCAAATGAAGTCCTTAGCAATGCATATTACTAATCAAAAATTAAGTAATAAAATACAGTAATAAGAAATTAATAATTAGAAATGAAATAATAAGAAATTATTAGATTAATGATAAGAAATTAATAATAAGAAATTATATTATTGTAAGAAAATACAGTAAAAAGAAATAAATAATTAGAATTAAATAATAATTAATCAAATTAATTAAAATTAATAAAATATTATTAAAAATAATAATTAAGATAATAAATAATAAGTGTTAATTAGATTAATAATAAGAAATAACTAGAGTAATAATTAGAATAATAAGAAATTAATAAGAAATAAGAATAATATTGTTTATATTATAATTATGTTAATAAATATTTTAGTATAATATTTAAAAATGTATTAATAATAATTCCGTTTATTGAGAAAGCATTTCCAGGTCATTGCAGAAACTTGTTTTTGCCATTGAAAGCCTTCATGATTCATCTTCTTCAGGTGCTGCGGAGTTTAGACCCCATATCCTGCTCTGAGAAGGAGCCAGACCCGTCCACGTCTGACTCTGTTCATTCACCATTCCTGCCCAGTAAGAAGAGCATCGGCCGCTTCCACCCATACACACGCTATGAGAACATCACCTTCAACTGCTGCGAGCGCTGTAACGGAGAGCTCATCGTGCTCTAGACCATCACGACTCCAGATCAACACGTGCACCTTCAGTCAGTATTATGAGCGTTTCCTTCCGTTTGTGCTTCACGCCTGTTCTCATGAAAATACCAAAGAAAAATCTCACAAACTCCGCAGCAGATGCAGCGCTGAAGCTTTGATCTGCACGGATGATCTCACTGATCGTCTCTGTATGTGATTTCCTGTGATTAAACGTCAGGCTCAGATGTGGAGGATGGTGGCGCACACGTGTTTGAGGTTTCTTAGACTGGACCGATTGATTTAATGGAGTAAATCTGTCATCGGTTATTCACCCTCCTCATGTTTCACACCTGCATGATTATATTTATTCACTCAAAAGTTTAAAAAAAGTTTAATAATAAGAAATGAGTATAGTTAGAAATAATTTGATTAATAAGAAGAAATTAATAAAAAACATTAACTAGATTATTTAGAAATGAATAATTTGATTAATTAGAAAAAAAATAGATTATAAGAATAAATTAATAATTAGAAATGATTAAAACAAGAATTAGATTAGTAAGAAATCAGAATAAGAAATGAATTAATAGGAAATTCATTATTAGATTAATAATGAGAAATTAATAAATTAGAAATGAATTCTTCATAAGAAAATAATAATCCAATTTTTAATAATCCAAAATAATTCCAATCCAAATTGGAATGGTAAGAAATTAATAATTAGAAATGTTTTTACATACAGTGAAAGTAAATCGGATCCAAAATGTCAAAAAAGCACCTTGAAAGTGTAATATGTGTGCAGTATTCCACATCTGAAAAGAAGCATCCTGCTAAACATCCCATGTTTGAAGTCATACGTGTGTGAAACAGCACGAGGTGAGTAAATGATGAACTGCTGATGTAGATTTTAAAATGTTCTGTATGTTTATGGCTTTTGTTCTGTAAAAACAGACAGAGAGAGGTATGAGCTTAGTGTGTAGGATTCATTTATATAATGCAGTGATGCAGTGAATGATGATGCTGCTCTGTGACGTCTGTATTTACACTGTATTTTCATATTTCATGAATATTCTCTAGGCAGACATTTAAGTGTTTTCCTGGACCACAGTGTATAAAGTGTTTTTAAAGCATTTCAAGAATATTTTCTCTATATTCTCTCTCTCTTAAATTACCAAAATAAACAGTTTGGAGTGAAACCTTTTTCTTTTCTTGTTTCCACCTACTAGTAAAAAATGGATTTTTAATGCAATGATTCTTTGAAATGAAACCAGAAGAAAGATCATTTTCACTTTCCCTACCAGTTTAAAATAGTAAAACGTCATAGGCAGAGCTGAAACTGATGCCATCATGAATTTCATGAAACTCTGAACAGAACATTTCCAGCTCTATTTGCGGCCCAAAATGAAAGAAAATGGAAATTAGAATTTACTTAAAGAAAATAAATCCAGTTTTTTGTTTTTTTTTTGCACTGTGGCAATATATTCAAGACACTTTATTGAGAACTATTTATAAATCATGGTTATATTTGTTGTGCTGCCTTTAGTTTATGCTGTATTATCATCAATGTATTACAAGAATGAGATGGTGTTTTCTGCAAATGTGATTAAAAATGGTGTTTAACTGTCATAAAAATGATGTAAAAATCATAATGTTCATAAATCAGGCCTGAATGAGAATTTAGTGTGAAAATGTACGTTTTACAAGAAAATACTATTTCAGTCGTCTTAAACAGTCATCTGAAATCATAATTTTTATTGATCAGTATCAAAAAAATTATACAATATTAATCACGATCCTCCCACCATTTTTTTGGTTCTTGTTTTTTTGTGTCCGTCTGTTTTGTTCTTCCTGTGGCTCTGAACTAGAGCGGGGATGTGGATCTCTGATGAATCGTTCCGGATGAAGCGACTCTTTGTGGTTCTCGTGACTCCTCTGCTCTGCTGGTGGAAGCCACTGTGTTTCCTCTTGGGCACAAACTCCAGCGCCTTCTGCCAGCTTCCCGTGTCCTTCCACGTGCTCAGGATGCGGATCATCTGATCCAGGGTCAGATTCTTGGCTCCACAGTCCCAGTCCAGATACTCATCCATCGGGAGTCGCGCCGTGGCCAGTTTGAGGCGTTTGGCGTTGGCCAGAGAAACGCCCGAGTGAATGGAGCGATCCACCATGGCACCAATGATGTACACCTTACTGTGATCGAACGTGTGCAGGACGTGCTGGGAATCGGCTGTCAGGTACACCAGGTCCTGCTGAGGAAACAGCTCCACATGACTGCGTTCAGTGGCTGTGATCAGCAGCTGGTCCCACGTGTGCGATCCATAGCGATTGAGGAGCTCACGGTGATATGCACTGTCCGGCTGCAGGCCGCAGAAGTGCAGGTGGAACGGGTCTGCGGCGCGGCGGTTCCAGCCTTCGCTCTCCATCAGCTGCGCAACGGTGTTCTCCATCTCTCTGCGGCTCATGTGCTGGTCGTAGCTCATGTCATACACCAGTGGCTGGCCGAAGTGCATGGCCTGCGCCACTCGCCAGCTGTGAAGGCAATCCATGGAGCTGCTCCAGATCTTCAGCAGGAAGCTGTTCTTGGGTTCCTCTTGATTAAATTCTCCGTCCGCTTCCCTCTCAGATTTCCTCCTCTCCTGTTTCTCCTTCTTGGTGATCTTGTATGACTCCTTAATAGTGAGAAACTTCAGGTATTTATTCTTGGCAGACTTGGTGGTCAGTTCAGTGAGAGCTTCCAGCTGCTCGTCTGTGATGTTCTTGGGAACAGACTTCCCCGCCTGATGCCACATCTCCACCAGCTCACGGTTGGCTTCCAGCGTTGACTGATTCGGGCTTTTGCTCTCCTCCTGCAGCGCTTGAGATCTCATCACTGACTTCCACACATCCAAATTGAGAGCGTTTTCTGTGGCGTCTTTCCTTGCGGTCCAGCTGGAGCTGAAGGGCCTGATTGTGATGCGTGGCTTTCTGAAGCAGCTGCATCTCACGGCCAGTGAACACGAGTGCAGGAACATCATCACTGCACTTCAACACCTACAACATCAGAACAATGTCTGGATCACCTACAAAAAAAACAAACAGCAGGGCCATGATTGAGTTATGATACAGGACTAGTTAGTCACACTCTTACTGCAGTGAATATTTATAGTTATAATAGTTATAATTATAATGTTTATAGTTATATTTCTTAAATGGCTTTATGCTTAATTTGTCACAATTTATAAGTAGTATATAATTTATATGTATATAATATATTGTTTTTTTATTATATTATGATACTTTCAAATGATTTTTTAAAATGGACAATTTATATAATTTTTATATTAAGTACTACACACACACATACAGGTGCATCTCAATAAATTAGAATGTCGTGGAAAAGTTCATTTATTTCAGTAATTCAACTCAAATTGTGAAACTCGTGTATTAAATAAATTCAA